AACTAAATAAAGCCTGGCAATAGCCAATAGAGAGTATAGTATAGACCTTTAAAAATCCTCCCTTCTGCCCTGGCCACTATGGCTTAGTTGGTTGGGCATCATCTTGTGCACCAAGAGGTTACCAGATGGGCTTGGTCCCCCGTGGGGGGCATGCGAGAGGCAGCTGACCCAATCTGTTTCTTTCATCGGTGTTTCTCTCCCTTCCTCTCTCTCTAGAATCAATAAACACTTTTTTTTTTTTTAATCCTCCCTTCTGCCTCAAGACTCTTGTTTCTCCTGGCTGCAGGAGCAAGAACCCTGGTTCAATCCCCATTCAAGTTAATGTATCAAATTAAATATTTGAAGGATCAGTAAATCATTATACTGAAATAAATGTGTATTATAACCTGGATTTATATTCTCAACAGGCCCTCTCTCTTCCTTCCTCTCGTGTGAGGGTAAAATACCTTTCTTCAAATTTTCTAATTTTAGCCACTATCACCACGTGCAGGAGTATTTTATCAGACTTCTGATTGGTCTTCCTGCCTCTGCTCTCACAGCTTGTTCTTGTTATCTTCTTCCTACCTTCCCAGCTCTCACCGCCATGTTCTGTGTGGCAGCTAGAGTAAATATTTCTAAAGCATAAATCAGATGATGTTATATTTGACTACTTCAAAACCTCAGGGGCTCTCCTTTACACTTAGGATGAGATCCATACTCCTTACTGAGGCCCAGAAGGCCTTATATGATCTGGCTCCAGGCCACCTCATGACCTCATTTCCCACCAGTGCCCCCCTCATTCACTGTCCCAGCTGTGCTAGCCTTCTTTCTGTCTTCCACTTGAACACAGCTTCGATTTGCTCTTTCTTCTGTTTGGAAGGCCTTTCCCCAGATCTTCAGAAGACTGACTTACATTTAGATTTCAGTTCACATGTTACCTCCTTCAGCATCATTTCATGACCACCTCAGTTAAAGTATGCTGTACTACTCACTCCCTATTTTATGTTACCATCTTTTGTTTTCTTCACAATACTTACTGGTTTCTGGAATTAATATATTTATTATATATTCTGCCTCTATCCTTCCCCAGAGAAGGTAAAGAAACTGTGTGCCTCTTCTCTACAGCTTCCCTAGCACCTAGAAAAATGCCCAGCACAGAGTAGTCACTCAATAAATGGCTGTTGGTTGCTTGATAACTCTAAAGTTTCATGAGAGAAACATATAGCCTTACCCCCAGCACAACCCTTGCCCATTTTATCTTATATTGATTCATTCTATTAATCATTATATCTTCTTCCCTCTACTATAGGTTTCAATGCCATTCTTTCTTCAAAGCCCTTCTTAAAGCCAAACAGAATCCTTAAATATCATTTGCATCTCTCTAGGCCTTTACCTAGGCCTTGCTCCCCTAATTGCAAATAGTGTCCTATGTCTGGAACATTTTCCTTCTCTACTTACCATGCCCTTTCTTAGTGGTTAAATAAAGGAGGTGTTGCATGCAAATTAGAAACATCTGTCATTTTTACCATCAAGTTTAACCAGTCCATGCTGTATCTTCCAACCTATACAGGTAGCAAAGTCAGCACACTTAATATTACAGTGGTGTGTTGGTTAGACTAGTTGGTGTCTGCAAGAGTGTATTTTTCTATCCTGGCCCTTGCGGCAGCTTCAGAGAAATTTATGGTAATTTTGAAAGTGATGCATGTACTATGTCTTCGGGGGTGGGGAGGAGGAGGCGTGGGTGGGGAATGCTAGCCCTTAGCCTTTGAGGACTAAGCTGTGGACAATCATATAAATACTTTTCTTTCATTTTGTGTGCTTGTCACCTGACAGCTTCTTGCTTCTTTCTTTTGGAGATAACTGTTCATTGTTAACAGAATAGCAGAAAAGGAGATGTGCAGGGGTGGCAGAAAGTTAGTGTTACCATTAAACTGAGGTTGTTTGTCAGCTTTCCTAGACATTTGAACAGTAGTGGTTGAGTCATTGGGCTTTTGTTGGGAAGGCCAAATCAATTCTATTGCCACCAATAACCATTACCCTCTCTCCCATACACTCTAATATACAACCTTTTAGGTTTTTAATAAGTGAACTTTTTCACTGTACCCTTGTGGATTTTTAAAGGTTCTCAAATTGAAATTTTGCTGCATTTACTTCAGACATTAGTAGAAAAATCTGTATGGGAGAATGATAGAAGGAAGAGGGTTGATAACAAAGGCCTTTACCTTTGTTATCTCTACAAATGTAATATCTTCATTACCAATGAAATTAATATTACAGTGGCATTTATCCTTAGACATACCCTATCCTTAGAAGTTTTAAAATCAATTTTATTAAGGTAACTTACATATAATAAAATACACCCATTGAAAGTATACAGTTCGATGAATTTTGGCAACTGTATACACCTGTGTAACAACTGTAGAACATTTTCATTGCCCCCAAAACTCTTCTGCCCTTAACTCAGTCTGTCCCACCCCCACATTCAGCCCCATGCTACCACTGATTTGTTTTTATTATTATAAATTAGATTTGTTATCCTTAGAGTTTCATATAAAGAGAATCATAAAGTATGTACTCTTTTGTGCCTGGCTTCTTTTGTTCAGCATGTTTTTGAGATTTATCCTTGTCATTTTGTGTATCTGTAACTTTATCAGTTCAGCTCTTGATGGACTTTGGGATTCTTTCAGTTTGGGACTCTTATTCATAAGCAGCTATGAAAATTCATGTACAAGTGTTTTGTGTGGAAATATGTTTTCATTTGGAGGAATAAGTACCCAGGAGTGGAATTGCTGGCTCATATAATAAGTATGTTTCACTTTATAAGAAATTGTCAACCGGTTTTTCTGAAGTAGTTGTACCAGTCAACATTACTGCCAGCAATGTATGAGAGACCCAATTGCTCCTCATTCTTGCCAATACTTGGTATGGTCAGTCTCTTTACTTTTAGACCTACTAGTAAGTTTGTAGTGGTGTCTTGTGATTTTATTTGCGTTTTCTAGTCATAATGATGTTCATGTGCTTATTGGCCATCCCTGGATCTTTTTTTGTTAAGTGTCTCTCCAAGTCTTTTGCCTACTTAAAGAAAAAAGGGTTATTTGTTTTCTTACTGAGTTCTGGGAGTTCCTTATATATTTTTAGATACAAGTCCTTTATCAAATACATATATTGCGAATATTTTCTCATAGTTTATGATTTGAATTTTTATTTTCTTAACTGTTTTTTTTGAAACCAGAAGTTTAAAATTTTACCACATACTGACTTATCTATGAAATGTATGCCTATCCACATAGCAACAAGATTTCCTCTTATATTTTTTCTAGAAGTTCTACATATAAATCCAGAATCCACTTAAGTTAATTTTTGTTTGTGATCTGAAGTAAAGAGCAAGTTCATTTTTCTAAACAGATATCCAGTTGTTTCAGCATCATTTGTTGAAAAGACTATTCTTTCCCGATTGAATTATCTTAGTACCTTTCTCAAAAATCAACTGACTATATGTGAGTCTGGAAATCAATGGAAAATATATCCTTGGGTGAGGATTTAAAAAAAAAAATCTATCAAGGGTTGGCCAGTTCTCATCCAGAGGCTCTGGGGGGAAATTCTCTTCTTCGCTTATTGTTGTTGGCAGAATTCAGTTTCTTGCCTTTGTAGGGTTGAGATCCCCATTTCTTTACTGGCTGTCAGCTCTTGGAGGCTGCCTGCATTCCTTGCCATGGTCTCCTTCCTCTTCCGCCACCAACTCTGCTTTTACAGAGTTCATTTGATTAGATCAGACCCACCAGAGTAAATCTCCCAACCTTAAGGTCAACTAATTTGGGACCTTAATTAAATCACAGCAGTACCTACATGTTTGTTTGAAAACTGAAAGATGTATGTACATCAGTAGCCAAGCTTCTTGGGACCATCATATAATTTTGCCTATCCCCTTATCCTGCTTTAGTTTTCTCATAGCACTGTAGACATTATATTTTCTATTTATTTGGTTGTTTTTAACTTGCTGTACACACTAGAACATAAGTTCCCCCAATGATAGACTGTTATTTTTGTTCAGTGTTGTATTCCTAGCACCTAGGACAATGTTTGGCATGTTGTAAATGCTTACTTAATATTTATTGACTGAACCAATTAATAAAAAAAGACTTTATGGCATTTAATTTTGATGACAGTGGAGATGGGATTTTTTTGGGGGTGGGGTGGGGGAAGAAGAGTAGATGAAGCATATAAATGTTATTTGAGCTTTAGCTCCAAAGGTACCATAGTCTCAAATTAGTCATTGGCCTTTCTTTGTATGGAGGATTTCTTATTTGACTATTAAAAAATAAGTTGTCAGTAATTGTATAAATGTCTAGTAACTGATATATACAAGAAAAAGCAAATTATAAATTAATGTATTTTAAAACTGAACAAAAGGTTTTATATAAGCCTTAAAGAAAATAGGAAAAATCAATGGAAGAATGAAAATAAGGAGCTATCCCAGCCTACATCCCCAACAGAAGTGAAGACAGAACTTGCTCTTAGTTATTTTCATCAGTCTTCCATCCTACAGCACCTCAGTGCAGAGCTGTGTGCCACTTCTGCTCTAACTGCAAAGCCATTTTTTGCATTTTCTACTTATTCTTATCCAAGAAGCTTTGCTGTTGAACCATTTTCTGCAGAATTAGGTCCAAATTCCTTTGCCTGGCAAAAGAAAAAGGAAATTAGCTTTCTTGGCTTGCTAGTAATAGTAACAACATGCTTTCAGCTTTTGGTTTTCATCTATATATATCCCCAAATAATGTCTTCCTATGAACGTTTGGAAATGGATGCCTAGTCATCCAGCAATATTCCCAATTTACCAACTTACTATGGTATTTCTGTGTCTTTCCTTGTAATTGCTGTTCACAAATATTCAATTAGTAAGTGTAACAGTGAGCTCTATCATATAGACATAACATAGCATGCAAGACCAACAAATTATATATTTCCCTCATTTTCAATACTTACTGTTATGTGTGTGTGTTTTTAATCCACCCTTTCTACAGACAAAACTTGCCAATGGCACTTCCAGTATGATTGTGCCCAAGCAACGGAAACTCTCGGCAAGCTATGAGAAGGAAAAGGAACTGTGTGTCAAATATTTTGAGCAGTGGTCAGAGTCCGATCAAGTGGAATTTGTGGAACATCTTATATCCCAAATGTGTCATTACCAACATGGGCACATAAACTCGTACCTTAAACCTATGCTGCAGAGGGATTTCATAACTGCTCTGCCAGGTATGTCTACGGGTGTTTGTGAGCCATTAATTTGCCTGGAAGATATGTTACAATGGTAATAGTACTGGATCTTAGCTATACATCTTTTTAAGTCTTTTTTGGCTTCATTTTTACAAACTGAGTCCTTTAATCGTACCTTCTTGGAATATAAATACAAAAAAAAAATCAAATTCTGGAGATAGAAACTGCTCTTTTCCCTATCTTCTCCCTATCTCATGCTCTTCTACTCACCCTCTTTACCCACACACTGGTTCAAGTAACATCTTTTCTGAAGCATTATCTGGTTTGAGATGTATCTTAGTTTCAAGATATGTTAACTTATATACTTGCCTTTGGATTTCTAAGACAGTTTATCAACAGAATATTTAAATTGTAGGAATGAAAAAGAAACATTTTTGAGTATTTTAGAAAAAAGGGTATCTCAGCAGCCTTGCTGTGACATTAAATATGTAAATTCCAGGCTTTACAATCTCACTGTGCACGGTAATCAAATACCTATTGTAATAATAATATATATATACATATATACACACACACTCATATATATGTATACACACACAAACATATGAACATTTTAAAGCTTTTATCACATGTACCAAACTATCCTCTAAGAAAGATATACCAACTTACACCCTCCCCAAAACTGCTTATTACCACTTGCTTAATCTTGCCAATTATAACTTTTTAAAAAATTTTTGTTTTTCCAAAATTGCATTTTAAATTTCCCTTTAAAACAAAAGAAATGCATGTTTATAAATTAGAAATAATCATTTTAAAGCTGAATTTGTACCTGTATCTTTTGTTAAATAGAATAGATTTCTGCCCCCTCTTCACTCATTGGATTTTGTTTTAGCCACAGGCAAACAGTTTTCTGTGCGAACAACCTGTGTGTACCTCATTACTGTGCTCTCCCCTTCACTGAGACATGTTACTATCTCAAGCATATACCACTGCGAATTGAACAGGAGTTGATTAGACCATTGTATCCCTTTACCTAATAGTGATTCCTGGTGTGTATCTGCTGACCACTTTATAAGATATTAAATCATCAGTCTAATGCTTTACAGCCATTTTAACTTATAAACCTATACCATCTGGCTACATTTAGTAAACCAAACTACTTCAAAAAATGCCTGTAATCCATTAATGTAATGGGTTTGTTTGGAGTGTTAGGTGAAATTACTTCCAAAGAGTTATTATAGGGACATTGTGAAAGATCAGGAGCAATTTGATGGCAGCCATTAAAAGCACAGGAATGGATTTTGGAAACTTCTGATGGTGTAGAAAGTTTCAGTATAAAGATGCAGGATTTGCATCATCACTGTATTTTGCATGAAGAGCTAATTTTTATATTTTAATTGGCTTATAATCATGTTCCTTTAATAAGAATGAGGCGATGGATGCTTCCATCTGCTTATGCTTAAATATGAAATGTGATTGCCCTGTCCTGGTGACTCAGTTGCTTGGAGTGTCATCGTGTACACAAAAGGTTTGGGGTTTGATTCCCTGTCAGGACATATACCCAGGTTACCAGTTTGGTCCCTGGGGCCTGTATGGGAGGCAACTGATATTTCTCCCTCTCCCTCTCCCTCTCCCCCT